ATTTACTAATGAACTTTCCCCCAGTTATTGGCTCCGATTAAGGTATATTGTCTATGCTTATACTTAGTATAGTCATGCATTAATTTGGATACAACCCAATAATAACCAGTGTCAGTGTCACCTGTTAGCTATTTTCTGAGGCTCTTATGCAGTGATTGTGACCAGTAAGAATGTTGGCTGTTAACGAAGGATAGTATACGAGTTCATTTTAAATCTTAAATAATTTTTTTTTATCTTTTTTTGACGACTTTTGTTGTTGTTCTTGAGTTGCATTATAATGTATGTTCAAATTATTCTAGTCCAGAGTATAAAAAAACTAGATGTATTATAAACAATTTAAAGCATTGTTGTTAAGTGGAACAGTGGAAAACCGCGCATTTACAGGACAAAGTAATGTTACTCAAACGGCTGCTTGCTTGTTGGCTCTAGCACTGCGTGTTATCATTTTTTTTGCTACTCTATCTCGCTATTTGATACATAGTGTGCATTTCTGTCACTGTAACTATTGTAATGAAAATTTCCATCTTATTGCACAATCAAACGAGGCAGTAGGAATGAACTCCTTCGCGATGGCTGGGTCGGTAGGTGCTTAGCGTGCGCGAGCCCGGCTCAGATGTACGGGGCGGCACCTGTAGACTTTTACCCTCTGTTAAATATGTGCGAAGTCATTAAAATGCTTTTAAAATTACTCTGTGGCATCTTCCTCTTTTTTTATACCCTGCGTATTATCGTGTCGTTTAGCTCCTAGTCAAAGTGTACTTAGGCTATTTACATATTTAAAATTCGTATTTTTTTAACATCAAATAAACTTATTTGACCGCGTTCTATCATAATGGTTTTTTTTTATTATTATTTTCCACAATTTTACGTTTGAAAACGATTTGCTTCTTTTGGTGACGTATTCTCCATTTGACTTGCATCGCCCAAGCGCTGCGAAACGCGCATCTTATACATAAAGAACTGGCACAACCTAGTGGTTCTATTCCGCAATTGCAATTTAAAAGGGACGGGAGTGAAATGGTCAAAATAAGAGTTGCATAATTGTCAGAAAACTAATGATATTAGTTATAATGTGAGAGGAATCTGACAAATATCGTATTGTGTGTACACTATATTGTGTAGAAACTTTATATTTCGGAACTATGACTACCTGACGTGCACTTTTCTGAAATATAAGAACTATTCCCTGGCGCAAAATCAATATTAGCTACCGGGTAGCATTTGAGGGACAGTCTGTGAGAAGCAGCACCGAAATACGATTATTTGCAGTTATTCGATTTCACTGGATACATGTCTGTATTAAGATGGGAATCAGGCGGTTTTTGTTTGAATCTCAAATCTTTATTGAGATATAATTCTAAATTTTATCTATATATCCTTGATTTATGTATGTACTTTCTGCCTGAGTTTGATAGTTTAACGGTGATTCAGAGCATGTATCTGGCTCTTCCGGTGCAAATAAGAATGAGACTTGCCTTATAATCGGGTCGCGCGCGTTGCGTGCCGCGTGTTTGAATTGTACTGAGCGGTCTGTTTCTACGCCAGAAGGGGGCGCAAGAAGACAAAGTAGATATGACAGGAGCTACAGGCTTTCGCATACAAGAACGTTTTTATAATACCTAAAAAAGAGAAAACATTAAGACTAGCGATGCTGTATTTGCTTTCGGTCAGTAATGCACTGCAGTCCCTGGAGCCTGTCGCAGGGAACACGAGTTTCAGTGGTGCAATGAGTTGGTGCTTGTGACTGAATTATAATTGTATGTTTGCCGATGTCTGTTGTACGTCGTACCATTTATAAGCAAAGCAGGTCTCGAATCATTGTTTTGTGTTGAACAGCTCCAAAGGACACAGAGGGACAGTTTTGCTGCCAAATGTAATGCCAAATGTCTTTGAGGAAAATCATTGAAGGATCAAGGATATGAGTTTGTTTCCCTCCATAAAGCACAGCTCTCCCCCGGGGATGTTATTTGGAGGGGGTGTCAAAAAAGCCACCTTTTCATAGGCCAATCCGTTCAGGTACCACAGGTCAAAAACATGCACCATTATTCTTCAGGGAGCAATAGATCGCCATTCATTCCCTCTGATCTGCTTTTGTTCTTTTCCCAAGAACCAACTCATGTCCCGTGTGGTCTGACACTGGAAGTGAGCTGCAGTACCCGTCGTGAGGACATGATGGCAGAATAGTCACGCCTTGGGCAAGAATTACATCTCAGGCTAAAATACAATTTTACAGTTGCTTTTGGCGACGGTGTTATCCAGGGCAACACGCATGATCAACTGTACTATTCTGGAGGCTACTGGGATAAATATGAAATGAAATATTGCTTGCGGTGAGGGTTGCACATTTTTATTAGTTACAAATTGCAACAGTAACCACCAAGAAAATAATTCTAAAGTTGATTAAACAGTTTAACAAACTTGCTCACTTAAGTGTTCTTAATGTGCCTGTTTTTCATCCCTGTTGGCAGAATACAGGATTTATACTCCTGACTAGAGCAGAGTTGCACTGCATTGATTGTGTATAACTTGGCAAATTCTGTGCAATTCCACGCTGGCACTAGCTACATATTGCATTGCGGCAATATTTCTAATTTTAAAGATGGAGTTTTTAGCTCTGCGGAAGGGAAACGCTTCATTAATTGATCACGTCAAAGTTGCAATTGCACTATCTAACCATCAGTCACATGTCACATTGGAGCCGTTGCCTTAAAAATACGATCTGCCAATCTATCGTACATTAATGACCCAGCAGACTCATTCTCGTCAGCCGTGATAATATTTACGCCTTCCGGCTACAATTAACAGTTCTGATGGTTTTCTGGAACCTTCTCCACTGAGCTGTTGGCCAAGTCCCAAGTTGGCACAGAAGATGCATCAGTTAACATGGAGCTTCAGTATGTGATGAATGAAGCTCGGGTGGAAGGAGGGAGGATCTGACATTGCTGCTTTGAGGGCTAAACCTTAAACTGTGTATTTCTGTACAGATTTAGACAGGCTGTGTGTCAATTAACGTGCACAGATCCAGCCCTGCATATAAAATAATACGTAACATATCTAAGCAGAGGCACATACACATTTTTGTAACTGCTTTACCCAGTTTACACATGTACTCAAATACATTTAAGTAAGACTTCAGCCCCCCACCCCCAACAAATTCTATCTACTTTGGGGAAAGCCAAGCAGGGGATCAGAATTTCTAGCTACTGGCCATAGATTAAATTCTTTGCAATCTCGTAATAATTTATAGCTCATTAAATCAGGTTAAGGGTCTATGAAGATGGCACATGAAAAGGGACATAGATTACCCCTCAAAAGCCGTGGACTGTACCAATACCGCAGTAATACGTGCTAGTATAATGACAGTACATGCAGGGTTGGGCGACTATGCCTTTTTAAATCTTAACCTGATGAATGTTTGCATCTGTGGGTTTTAATCGCAGCGCTGTCTGGATCCTAGATTGTATTATTTAATTAACCGCATGTTTTTATTACATCCTGGCGCACGAAGTGTAATATTTACTGTAATATTTACTTTATGTAATGCTTACTTTATTATAATACGCACATAAGTATAAATGAATAAAAAGCAAAAACCATTTCAATACGGTCAAAATCAAATTGCTGTACCACGATCAAACCCCTACGTTTCCCAAAACGACCCTTGGTATAAAAGCGGGAAATGGAAGTCGTTGTTTTTTGTTCTACCACTAAATACAGATATATAAAGAAATGATGATTATATCTTGATACGAAATGCTTTAAATGCTTCCAAAATGAATAAGTATAAATAAAATACAGGGCGTGATGTGTAATATGGTATACGTTGAAAGGCGCATGTCCACTTTATATCGTATACATCGTGAGATAACATCAAATACTATAGATTATACAATGGAACCGCCTACATTTCCGCAAAGCGCACCTGATCCAATACGTTACCGTTTATCACTTCAGCTTACTACAAACAGCCCCATATTGTACTATCCAGCAAAAGGGGTTTCTCGCACGACTAGCACCTTCGGTTCCTCCGATTAAGGACCTTGGACAACGCTGGAGATATGAGGTTTCTGGTAATTGTAGTTCTCTCCGAAGTTGTATGTGCGTCACACGGCGGATCCAGAAACACCAATTCCCAGGAGCCTTTGCAAGTTGGCCGCTCTTATGTGCGGCGTCGGCAGCAGGGGCGGCCCTCAAGGCGTCGTAGTAACCGAGTGCTGCTATCACCTAGGAACCAAATCGCCTATTCTCGAAAACAGTACGTGAATTCACTAGGTAGAAATACTACAGAGTGTAGCCTCCCTACGCCAAGTGTCACCTCAGATGTGGTTCACAGAATAAGGATTCTGTGAAGGTTTTCCCCCTGTTATTTGTTGTTTTAATTCTTTCCACCGGTACCGGCTGCTGTCTTCTGCGTACTATGACAATTGACTGTCCGGAGCGGCTGCGGTCTTAGCTGCCTGTGCGAGATGCCCATCGAGCTGGGGGGACGCGCTGACAGCGACCGTGGCCGGACGCTGTCTCATTACTTGCCTTCGCTATGAAGTTGGCGGAAAATTTGCATTTCGGGGCGTCTTCGCTAGGAGGAAGAGGAGCGGCAGCCAGGCACTAGAGGCTGTCAAGGCAGGTCGCACAGCGCTGGTTCTTGGCTCAGCATCGGAGATCCTCTGCTGATCGCGGCGGTGTCACAGAGGGATTTACTGCGATCAGATTTATGAATGGCAGTCTGACATTGCGTTCGGCCTGTTCCGTGCCTGTTTGCTAGATTTAGAAACATTTTATTGCTGCTTTTTTAACGCAGATGCATGGTAACGGGCGTTAATTGTGACTAATGATAAAGCATCGGATTAGATTGCAGATAGTGTGTTTTTCGCGGTAGTCAGGTGCACTTCCAGTTGTGCACGAATCCCGCTTGTTTTGTCGTAGCAGCCGGTCCGTTTTAAAATGTGCCTGTTCCGTGCCGTGTTGCCCGCTTATAGCCATGCTCGCTGAGGCGCCGGGCTTTCCGGGTGGGCGCCTTTCATCAGCAGGGAAACACGGATCCTTACCGCGGTGGAAAGAGGCGGAAAAGTTCATTGACGAAAGCGGACTCGATCCGGAGGAGAGGGGAGTTTGTCAGGATACACGGAGGTGAATTATGAATGGAGTTCGGGTGCATCTGGTCGTTAAGGCTCCCTAGAGGGGCTCAGCACTGAGGGGAATTGCTGAAAAATAACACATTCATTGCAAAAGCGGATAAAGTACAATTATGAACATTTTGATAATTTCATTGTGACAAGGGGGTATAGTTTTGGACCCCAATTTCTGTTGTAACGAAAAAGGTCGATGCATGTTGGCGCGTTTTGGTGAAGGGTTTATCTGAAGTTGCGGTCGGAATATCGGGGTAATACAGAAATTGTCGAGTATCATGGCCGACCGGACCGCTCCCCGTTGCCAGCTGAGATTGGAGTGGGTTTACGGGTACAGGGGGCACCAGTGCCGCAACAACCTGTATTACACCGCCGGTAAAGAGGTGGTGTACTTCGTGGCCGGGGTCGGCGTGGTTTACAACACCAGGGAGCACACGCAGAAGTTTTACCTGGGACACAACGATGACATTATCAGGTAAGCACCTTAATCTTGGTGACTTTCCCTAAAAATCCATTCTTTGATTGTCAGAGCGTGTGTTTTAAATAAACTTCTTGTATATAATATATATATGTTCATCCATCCATCCATCCATCCATCCATCCATCCATCCATCCATCCATCCATCCATTTTCTACCCCAGCTACTGCTATAGTTTTCCCCGCCAAAGCGAAAAGCGTGCGCGCTCCTGACAGCTGCGGACGTGCTGCGCGTTCCCGGCGCGGCTCTGCTGCTGGGAGGTGCTGTCCGTCATATAGGCATCTAGGGGCTCTTTACCTGCACTGTTTGATACAAAAGCTTCTTTAGTCATGTCATACGAAACCGCCATAAATTTTACGGAATTCCCTAGTCGGCGACCGATGGCACACGTCTAATTAAAAACTGATTCCCTTAAAGACTGATCCTCCTGAAATGCGGATGAAAAAGTCTTGCTGGAGCCATTTACGATGGATTGCACGACAGTATGTTTCGCCAAAAAATGTCTGCTGTTACTGCACTCTGTATATCTCACCGGAAAGTAGGCAGGTCTTATGTTGACTCAAACTGCATCATCAAGAATAAAGAAAAGGACTCATGTTCTTAAGACTACAGAAAATCCCTGTTGGGGTTTGACAAAAATCCTCATAGCAGGCCTAATCTTTGTCTAGCACATATCTGTTATATTCCGAAATGCCTATTTCACGGCTCAAGCGGTCTGTTTATTTTTCCACACATCAGTACTGTTCAGATTTTTATCCATCCTATTACACTCACTGTTTTGACACATGCATTCAGGAGATTCTGTGACCAGTGATGTAGAGACAAATCAGCTGCATTGCAAGGTTCAGATGGCAGTGTCTCCACTCCAAAGTGCAGGATTTGCAGAAGGATGAATGTCTCTCCCACCGGTGCAGTCACTGCGCGGTGGCCCGTTCTACTGGTGTGTTGCTTTCCAGCAGCTTTCTCCATGGTGAGGCGCTGGCGTTCGTGTCAGCATGAACCGGAAGGGCATCTTGAGGTGGGTCCTGGAGCTCAGCAATGCTCCATGAGGACCTGTCGTTTGCACCCCATGATACCTGTGCAGAATCGCAGGTCAGCAGCTTAACCGGCCCTTAATGAAAGGGAATTAGACAGATGTGTTATTACAGCTGCTAAATGCAGGTGGTGTCATCAAAGAATTGGTCTGTATCCCAGCACACCAGTTGGGGTGCTTTACTTGTCTAGGAGTGTGAGGTCCAGACCCCAGTGAGAGTATTTCAGGTGGTCCTATTGGGACAGTAATGCTCTCTTTTCTTTGTCACACCGGCTGTCCACCATTTGACAAATCCATCACCTAGTCTGGTCTGAGAGGTTTTCTCAGAGGCCGTTACAGCCCCAAACAGCCTTGTTTTCATCTGCACTCTCACTTGAGGACCCCAGGCGTCATTGTAAGGGTAACATGGTGTGCTGTGGTTGCCTTTCAGTAGATACTGCTGGTGTTGGTGACATGATGTTTGGCGGACTTCTCTTGTGATATTAGTGCCCGCTTTGTCGTGTAAAGCCAGGCACATCCATCCTACACTTCTGTGGCCCAAAGGAAGCCTTTATTTGATGAGAAAAAGGCAGTTTGATTAACCTATTCAACGCAGAAAATCTGGAAAATGTTATCACATCACTGCCTATGAAGGAACAATTTGTATTGTTTCAATTTGGAATAATTAGGCGTCATTTCACATCTCTCCAGCGGTTGTTTGCAGTAAAGGAACACTCATTCAGTCTGTCCCGTTATATCCCAACTGGGATGCGTATCCACGCTTCAGCCACGAAGACGGCTGTGAAATTAAATTTCCTCCCATCCATTTCCTTGCGTCCGGGTTACATTCTCATTTGGAAGTTTTTATCGCTTACGCCATGTTGATGGATTAGCACCGTGCATAATTTTAGGATGGACCCGTCTTGCAGGCGTCATACGGGTATTAATCAGCGGCATCTGGCTGTTGGGGGGGGGGGGCCTTTAAGAAATTTAAGTTGGGGGGGATGTAGCAATCACTGTCTAATAGGAGTTCGGGAAACACTGAGGCAATTTCACCAGCGGCTTGTTGTGGTTTTTCTCCAGCAGGAAGGGGAATGACTTGTATCTGTGTGAGTTTGCGGATGTTAAAGGATCTTGCTCCTGCTGTCCTCCTCTCAGCGATCCTTACAGTCACAGGGCAAAGCCAGGCCATCTCTCCTCCCATTTGACTGACTCGTTATATATTAACTCTTTCATTCCACACAGCCCCAAAAATGTGGGTTTATAACTGATCAGCGCTAGTCACTGTGTAACTAAAATGTTAGCCTAATACCAGAGCTGCATCCACAACGTCTTTGGCTGGTCGGCTTCTGTCTAATGGGGGCGTGTCTCTCTCTCAGCTCAGTCCTGATTGGTTTCTTAGAGGGTCACATGGCAACTTAATATGAACATAAGAAATTTACAAACGAGAGGAGGCCATTCGGCCCATCATGCTCGTTTGGGGAGAACTTAACTAATAGCTCAGAGTTGTTAAAATCTTATCTAGCTCTGATTTATCTAGCTCCCTGCATGAAGATTAAGATCCAGTTGTATGTATAGACCTTCACCCAAGCACCTGGTTCCTCCAGCCATGATGCTTCAAACATGTAGCTACTCAGCTTGCCTTTACGGTTCACCCATTCCCAAATTGACACGTTGCATTTCTGCACTATTGGACTGTAATATACAAGTGCTTGTTTCCCCATTCAGTAGAACGTGAATTTACCAGTACTCGCTGCACAAGTACCGGATATACATTTCCAGGTAATGAGAATAATGTCTTCATTAATAAATAATTACAGAATGTTCCAGCTAGGTGTTACTGTACCTTTAAATCAGTGCGATGTGGTAAACCATATCTGCTTTCAACAGCTTTGAATAGGCGGCTGAGATAATGTCAGGAATTACATTCATGCACTATTAACTACTGAGCGCAGTCCTGCTGCGGTTCTAAAGGTGGCAGCCAGTTCGTGGAAGCAGACAGCACCTGTCTTTCAGTTTTAAAAAGGCGCACACACACATACACGCATGCGCGGAGTCGACATGGGTGTCGCCCCAGGAACGGCGTGGCTTTCCGGCTCGTGAAGGTGCCTGATGCTGCTTCTCAGAGGGAAGCTCCTTTCGCAGCACCAGAGTCCACTGGGTGAAGCCTTAAAGAGGCTAGAATCGGCCAGGTGACCTTTGCGCCTGTCGTTAGCGACCATGGATACCTGCTTATGGTCCTTTGGAAGCTGATTGGCAGTCGATGGTGTTCCTACAAGGCGTTGCTAAAGTGTTGCATCAATGCCGAGAGTGGGCTTTGCGAGCTCAGGGGTGGGGGCTGAAATCACAAACGGGGGGCTTGTTGCCTTGAGCTCCCAGATCACACACCCCTGATCATGTGGTGAGATGGGAGGGAAGCCAGAGGGGGGGGGGGGTTCCCAATTCACTGCCTTGAGTACCTGGTCGGCCCCCCTTGCTTTCTCAGAGGACTGCAATGGACATCTCCATATTTCAGTTTGCCATGGTTATCCTCTGTCGCCACAGGTGGGTGTAACTGGAGGCGCTGTCACCCCCCCCTCCCCCCCCATTCCTGCTCCAAAGGGACACCCTGCACCTCCTGTAGTTTCGGAGCCGCCTGGTGACATCGCCTCTGGTTTCTGTTTCAATAACAAGGCCCGGATAACGAGAATTGCCACCCCGTTTACTTCAGGATGGTGCGCATGTACCCCTGTTTACTTCAGGATGGTGCGCATGTACCCCCGTTTACTTCAGGATGGTGCGCATGTGCCCCCGTTTACTTCAGGATGGTGCGCATGTACCCCCGTTTATTTCAGGATGGTGCGCATGTACCCTCGTTTATTTCAGGATGGTGCGCATGTACCATGTTTGGGCAAAACAAGATAAATCTGTATGTCGCCACCATAGCTGCATTATTTTCCTGTTGATGGAGACCAACTGTGAGAGAAATATGTCAAGAAGGATTGAAACTGGTCACCCTTGAAATTATAGGGAGCAGCTTAAAGACACGGTAATGAATCTGCCTCCAGGGGCGTCTGTTTTTCGTTGTAATGGGGTTGTTTGCCTACAAAGGGGAACGTCACGCCATGTGCTTTTGATGATCCTAAAACGCTGCCGCAGACCCTGTGCCTGCAACCCCATACGGGATGTAACACACCTACCACTGAAATCACCTTGGAGCGCTAACTCGGAGATTAGCTTTATCATCAGCTGTTCCTTTGCATTTCCCGCTTAAAATGACCCCAGCCCTCATGAATGGCATTATCATTTTTGAAGTTCAAAAAATATATACAGCCTCTCCCTGGTCATGATGGGGTTATGTTCCGATAAACCTATCGTAAGGCGAAAATGTATTTTAATACAGTACACCTAACCTAACACACATTATATCCTAGCCTACCTTAAACATGCTTAGAACACTCACATTAGCCTACAGTAGGGCAAAATCATTAACATGGAGCCTATTTTAGAATAATTTATTGAATATTGACCTGAAGGTGAAAAACATTTACCCATTGTAAAGTCGAAATATCATAACACAGACCATCGTAAGCCGGGGAGCGTCTGTATAAATTTGGGTTTAGTCAATGAGACACTGTAAATAGTTTTATTGGTCATAGCATAATAATCATAAAAATGATGATAATGGAGGTCCTGGACCCAAATATGTTATTTTGTGTCGCCTTGACTTCTCTTTGACCTAACGGTGCCATTTCGGACAAGAGGCTGTGTAGTGAACGCTGGAAAATAACCAGTCTGGGTGACTGGAGCGCTTTACCGGCTGATATTCCACTGGCACAGGTGAAGAGCGAAAGCCTCTGCTATCCGGTGGGGCTATCGCGTGGTGCCGCTGACAGCCGGTGCGATGAGAGACGGGCAATGAGGAGCGGGCATGGCGCTGCCCCTGGTACGCTCCGGGGGTGGGGGGCATGGCCGGGCTGTCCCCTCTCCTTCAGTGACGGCAGCC